AGTCTTCTGTGATTTAATGTGGAAAACAACAACAACAATGTTTAAATAGATTTTGTGGGCCGCTTTGTGCGGCGGTAGTCTTGAAGAAGTGCGTAGGTCCTGTGACGCGTTATTTAAAAAGAAACTCCTAGTTTTTTTTCTGTGTTACGTGTTTTATGTTTGTAAAATTTTTAATCAATTATTGATAATATATAATTATTGTCTTGTGTATTGTATACGCGTATTTGTTTTAAACCAACAACCTATAACCAATATATAAAAATATAAGATAATTTTATCATTGCTTTTACTAAAATGAGGTAAGTGTTATCTATCTATTTAAGAAAATATGTGTGCATATATTTTTAATTATAGTGTGTTTGAACCTTCATTGTTTATTTTAATATTTGTTTTCTTATTATATTTTGTCTTTATTTTGTGTGATTGATGTTGTTGACGACGAATCAGACAAAAACATTTTTAATTTATGTTTTCGATTGTCGCGTTTCACTTCTGGCTGGCCTGGCCTGCTTGGCTATGTGCTGTGGTGTTGCAAAGCACTTCGACAAAAACCTGTTTGCCTACCATAGTTTGGTTTTATTTATATATTTTTCTTAGAATTTTTTGGTTTTCTGATACAAATATCAATGTGCGTTGACTGTTGACTCTATATACGAAACACACCCGCGCCTCTGCTTTATACGTTTTATGTGATTTATTACAGAAGAGCATTGCCTGCCTTGCTGCGTTAGGTCAACTTTATTCACGTCATATCGATCTTTGTTTTGTAGAGAATTTTATGCATTGTATATATTTTAATTATTTTTTTTAGTTATTTGTTATAAATTTAATTAATTTTTTATATATTATTAATTAAACAATTAAACAATTTATTAAACAATTTTATTTTGCTTTTCTCTGACATGTGTTTATGGGAAAATGCAGTGGCGGTCACACACAAATAGTCGCCATTACATTTACATTGCCTTTCGATATATTTATCGCATATATGCATTTATATTTAGCAGGTCATATTGGTCCGTTATTTGATTTCATATACAAACCAACAACAACGACATTTGACGATCTCTGGAATTCAGCTTAAATTAAATTTTTTATCTGCTACCAAAATATTTTTTAATTTGTTTTTTGTTTTGCACTTTTTTGACTTATTTTGTTTTCGACTTTTTAGACGTGCTTTTATCTTGTCTCCACGATTTCATTAGAAAAATGTTAAAATGTTGATTTTTTTGAAGTATTTCCAAGAACTTCCAAATTTCCATTCAAGTGAAATTAATATTTATCAGTTCAAATTAAAATGTACCATATATACTTAAACTCAAATATATACATTTATGTTATATATATTATGTTATTTATATTATATATATTGACTACTTTTGATATTAATGACAAATGTAGGTTGTAGCCGGATGTGTCATCTATAAATGTTATTGATATTTAGTTTGTTATTAAAAATTATAATATTTATGGAATTTATAATGAATTTTGTTGCGATGCTCAATGGTTTACTACAACTATCCCAAAATGATATTCTCGACAGCAAAGTGACTTATATATTCTTCAAATGGTCTTCCTTTTCCATGCAATCTTTTGCAGTTGCAGAAAGTGTGTTCAGTATCGTCCTCGTCTGATTCGTAATATACAATGAGCGACAAAACTCTACATACACCCCCCATTTCTGCTAGCTCGTAAATCCAAAGACATAATAGAAAAAAGTAATGATATAATTTTGTTTAGAACTGTTTTTTAATAATAATAAATAAAAGAAAATTCATTCATCAATATAAATTAACAAAGTTATTCGAAAAAAATCTAAATGAATCATTGACAAAAGTCTACATATACTTCATTGATTATTACATATAGTCGACAGTAATTTAAATGTTCAACGGGAAAGTACCGTTTTTCATATTTCATGCTTGTGGCATGAGTCATACATTTATATAACGCATTTAGTTGTGCTTTGTGAGTGGTATTTAATTGACACGATGGGTCCACGAAAAGAAATTTCAAGTGATAAGCGAAATCAACATTTTAGACGATAATAAGAAATTATAAAAATACTGGTTCTACTGAAAATAAGCCTCGCAGTGGCCTCCCAAGGAAACTCACACGTAGGGATGTCAGCTTGGTTTTAAAAGAAGTTGACAAAAATCCGAAAATAAGTGCCTTAAAATTAGTCGAACACATTGCTAGTGCAACTGGGAGGCATGTCAATCCACTTACAATGGAAAGAACGATAAACAGCCACGATTTTCATGGTAGAATACCACGCAAAGAACCTCTAATGTCTGAAAAAAACCCAAAAGCTGCGCTCGGAGTTTGCCAAACAATATAAAGAAAAGGATTTTGATTTCTGGAAGCAAGTTTTGTTTACAGATAAATCCAAATTCAATATATTTGAAAGCGATGGGAGAGCTAAAGTTTGGAGGAAAGCGAAAACAGCACTGAACCCGAAGCATATAATGCCAACTGTAAAGCATGGTGATGGCAGTGTTATGGTTTGGGGAGACCATTATGTATTATATAAGTGACGTAAAAGTTAACCAGTTTCTATCTAGTCATAGATATATTCGAAAATATCTATACAGAATGCTAAAAACCGACTTCTTCAACTGCGAAAGATTGCATGGAAAAGGAAGACCGCTTCAACAATATATAAGTCATTTCACTGTCAAGAATATCATTGAAAAAATGAAAGAACATGCAGAAAATTGAAACAAAATCACATAATTCTTTGGAAACGTGCTCCGGAAAAAAAGAAAGACCTGGACGCAAATTAAACTAAAGCGAAAAGCAAACTAACTGGAGACTTTTCAATTCGGTTCAGTAGTGGGGGTCTATAGGGAACAGGTTTTGCCAAAAGCATATGTCATGAATAGCCAACTTATAAGAGATCCTTCACAAAGTAAAGCGAAAACAGTCCCTTGGGAATAAATGCCAAGGAAGAATGAAGAGGGTGTTTTAGTTTGTATACTACACACACGATTTCGATGACGGTCAGTTTGACGGTGCATAAAACATTATGGCTTCTCACCTCACCTCAACTCAGTTTATTCCTAGACCAATTTGATGCAAATATTTGTGCAAAAAGACTCAGATTACAGAAACATTGTATCATTTTCTATTTGCTTAAAAATCCATCGAATTGCAGTAGGAAGCGTTGTAACATACAATCTATCATAAATTTAAAACTCTCTGACTTGCAGCTATTCTAACACCTAAAAAAAAATCTTTCATGGAAAAAGATATTAATCAAACTAAAAAGTAATAATTGTCGTAGCAGATTTTTTTGCTGACCTTTCGGTTCTGTAATTTAGAGCATCGCTGAAATAAGTAAGAGAAGAGATATTATACCGACAAAATGATTATTCTTACCACTACAAATCAATTTTTCATTTTCGTTCCGCAAATTTATTGGAAATTGTTAAATTTTGACAACTATCTGTGTGTAGAGCCAAATTTAATAATTTTTATATTTTTATGATAACTGCCTTTTGAGGATTTTTGTTTTGTTTACTTTATAAGTAGTATAGTAACTAGTATACAATTTTAATTTAATTAGCGAACGAACTGTTTTACTCTTCCCCCGCAAATTAAAAATTTTTTAAATTCATTTTGTGCAATTTGTGAAGTTTTTTTATTTGTCAATAAATATTTACAAATTTCGAATATTTCAAAATAGTTTAACTTTAGTGATCAGCTTATTTTTATCATATAACAAATATACTAAAATTTATAGCCCAATAAATTTAGGTTGTCGTCAGATATAAAGTAAAAAAAATAGTTATAAAACCGGAAATTTTATTTCATTTGTTCTATTTATTGCACATATTTCCATAGTTCCAGGTGAACTATCACAACAACCAATTAAATTCTAATATGAAAATACATAAATAATTACTAGTCTTTAGTATTGTTACTAAAAAATATATGTATATCTATATCTATTCTTTATATCAATTAGTTCTAGTAGAACAATTTTCCTTGTGTGTTCTTTGATTAACTCAATTACGATTGAAATCAAAGCAACTGTTGCCATCAAAGATGATAAACAATTGTAATTTGCTTGATAGTACGTTATTGGTCTAAAGAAAGTTAATTGAACAATTACTGCTTGTGTGCTTCATAAATGAAATAAATTTTCATATCTTAAAAAAATATTAAAAAAATGTTTCTTCATTTCATTAATTTTTAATTAAACTTTTTTAAAGACTCAGTAAAATATAGCAATCTATTATTGTTATTATAAGTGATAATTGTGCACTACGTTCTATACCGTCAAATGTTTCATGAGACAAGCGTAACTATGTTTATATTAGGTAACTCAAATATTACAGTCTTGTAGCTTTAAACTAACTTGGTTTTTAAGGCTCAAAATAGCTATCCATATATATAATAATGCTGACGTTTTGTTATCTCCTTTTCAGAGATTTTATTGCAGATTTCCATGCTAAGTACTTGTAACATAGATGAAAATTTTTTGAAACTGTAGTTAGATTTAATCTGTATTCATGGACCCTTAAACCATTTTGTGTGTTTTCAAGTTTTTACTCATTGGTGAATTATATACACGTATTGTAGGGTTTTAAAAGTCCACGTTTTTTGATTCCTTTCATTTGAGAATTATCTTATAGTTACAGTAAAAGAAGTTGTGCTTACTTAAGCTAACTGAAAAGTCAAAGATACGGTTTTTCTAGAAGACTTTCCCATTTTCGCCATCCTATACAGATAGGATATCGGAAATTCTAAAACTACTTTTCATTTCTTCATTTCTTAATCGATTTAATCGTAATTTCTATCTTATATGTATCTTTTGCAAAACACCACCATTTAGTAATAAGTCGCCTTACTGTCTTCATGAGAACCGAACTTATAAGATTGCATCAATACTTAGAAACATTCATTATAAACTGCTTGAGAATGCTTTAGTCAATTTAAGCAGCTTATTTGAATCAGCAGAAAAATGTAAACAGCTTTCTAAGTTTCTAAGTTTAAATATATTTGAACTTTAATCTTGACCTGTTTAATCACAGTTCACTTTAATTAAGTGAATATGTTTCTGCTAACTACCACCTTTAGATAAGACTAAAGGTCGTCGATATCTATAGATTTTTGTAAATGTAAAGTGAAACTTCCGTACATACTTTTGGTCGCAACCTACGATTGACAGGAAACCAGTTTAGTAGCTTTAAATTTCACTGATCCGAACAAGATGTAGGATTTTGTTCCAAAATTTATTAGATACAAATTTTATGATTGTCATTTTTTTTATATGTTTACAAATTATTTTTTACCTTTTTGTATGAGATTATGGTTTTATTTGTTGTTTGCTTTTTATTTTTATCGCATCGTATGATATGATAATGTCTCATTGTCAACTGATATACATTTTATAACTATAGTATGTGAAGGAGATTAATTAGTGGTTGGTTGGTTTTAGTGGTGGCCATGTTGTAGCTTGACCATGACTTTCCATTTGTATTTGTACTATTAGAAAATTAAAGTGGATATTATTTTAATCTTCTTTAAATTATATCAGTATTTGTTGCCTTGTTGAAGATGCTTCTGACGCTTGTTTGTTCATCTATAGTTTTGTTTCCAGGTGTCTTAAAACTCATTTCAATGATATTGCGCACTGGTTACTCACTGATTTTAGTTGAGTTTAGCGCTGTTCACTGTTATGGACATCGTCAAAATAACAGTTCTACTGTCGTAGAAAATTGCAATCTGTTGATTTTGTATATTCTTTTCTGATACCAGTCGATCAATTTTTACTCCGTGAGATTAATTTTTATTTCATCTTACTGTTGTTGGTTTCGTGTTCGCAAATCAAGGTTTAATTGCTCCCATTATTCCTTTTTCAACCGCGACTTTCGTGGTTCACAAAGTTTACCGCTAGTTGTAGCTCCACGCTTGCGCTATAACCCCCAATTATCCTAGTAAGGTAGTTAGTTGTGGTGGAGAGAGGACGAGTCCTTTTCAATTAGCTAAAAAGTCGTTTTGAATCCACAAAAAGCTCGTATTAGTGGGTAGTAGAGAGAAATTCAAATTAGAACCAGCTAGAGGCATTTATAAAAGCAAGCATCTGTCTAATGCTAATGCTGGAGATATCGCCGAGTAAATTCAAAACCAGGCCAGACCTGGACAAAGCCACATCAAGTGTTCTGGTGTCATTTTTTCGAGAGCTGATAGACATTCAGTGCATTTATCCTACTTCATGCCCATGTTTTTTGGCTTAGATAAATCTAGTCCTCTAGGTATTAAGCCTATCTGTTCACATCTCTCTCCTTTGATTACTGAAATGAAGTTTCCACATTGCTGTCGATATCTTGTTTATTCATTTCTAAGAGGTGGTTTTAGTGGGTTCAAGGCTCACAGTGTGATTGTTCGGGTTAGCTTTTCGATATCTTTTTAATAATAGCAACAGAATTCTATTATTGACTAATGCAACGAATGTCATTCGTTAAATTAGACATGAATACTTATTATATTAGATGATTACTGTATACTTCAAAAGCCTAAGTTTATCATCGTTTCATCTAATAATAAATTTAATTTAATGGAATTACTAAACCCAGCCACTTAAAAATTAATTAAAATAGTTTTGTTGACTCTTAGATCTTATGACTCATTCTTTATATTAGATCTTATTTTTAACATAAATTGAGCTCTTTCCTAGTAAACAACTAAATGACTTGGTGATAATTAAAAGGGTCTGCTATTTCCAAAGAAATGAAAATATCAACTACTCAAAGTAATCCACTTTCATTTAATCACTTATTAAGTTAAATGCATTTTTTTTTCAAATAGAAATAAATTGTTTTATTTTTAAATAGAATAAGCTTCCCGAATTCTTTTTATCATAATTTTATGTATTGCGCAGTCTAAAAACAATTTCTATGAATTTATTTCAAACTAAAGATTTTGAAGAAATTCTTTTCCTTTTTATTGCGAATGGTATGAATGGTTTTCCTCTTAACGAAAACAATGAATATAAACAAATAAACAAAAAAGTTTTTGGTTAGAAAATAATAAAATTATAAATAAATATTTTCATTAAATATTTTTAATTAATATATATAATTTTATTTTTATTTCTTTCTAGTTTAATATATTTAACCTTGAAGATATTCATATTGATTGAATGTATCCTCTTACACTTCTCGTTCGCATCACGTTTTCCAGGTGGTAAGTACTAAAAAATTCAATTAAAAATTAATATACATTTCCTTTATATATATATATATATATGAATTTAATAATATTAATTTTTCTTTTAAACTCTTATAATAGAAACAATACCAACACGAGTTGAAATTGGTATTGGCGGAAGTGCTAATATTACGTGTCGAATGAATTTGGAAGTATTTCAGGGAAAGGACAGTTCCTCGTTAACTTTTGTTGAAGAGCAAACGGGTCTGCCAGTACCCCGCAGCCATATTGCAGTAAGTTTTTCTATTTAGATTTTAATTAATTCAAAAAAATATTATATAATATATATTTGTGGTATGCAATGTTTTATTTATAAACACGTTTTTCTATCTTTTCAATTAGATTATAAATGAAACAACAATTGTTTATATGCTGCGCAATGCGGCGGCACAAAATACTAAGTATCTCTGTAAGAGTGGAAAGAATGGTGGCATTGGTGTGACGCATGTGTCAGTGGGTATGTTGCATTTGTTGCTTGAAAAGCAGATATTAAATTCTTTTGAATTTTATTTATTTTATAATAATATTTTTAAAATCAATTTTAAAGGTACTGCTCCGCTTGATGTCAAGGATTTCAAATGTCGCGGTTATGATTACTCGTATATGATATGCAAATTTACGATACCAGAAAACAATCTTCTAACTCAATACACACTTAATTATACTACAACAACACTTGTAAGCACAACAACAATGTTAACATTTAATTTTCTCATAAAATTTGTTTAATTTATACTATTTTTATCAATTGATATGTTATGCATCTTATTTCTATGTATTTAAATAATTTTATTTGAATTTAAAATATTTTGATTATTTATTTTTAAATTTATGTATATATATATATGTTTTTATATGTATATGTATGTGTATGTGCATGTATGTAAATATTTAATTATGAACCCACACAAGCGTAAAGCATAAAAAATTTAACAGCTTGAGCGATGTATCTCACATTTGTTTACAGATAAAATTATTTAAAATTTTACTTTTGATTAAGTGCAAAATATTTATACTACAAATTAAGTTAGATTGATAGCAACATTTTTCTCATGAATTCTTCATTCATATTACGCTTTTAATGTATTGTTAAAAGTACATTTAATTTATACTAATTTCTTTGAATTTATATCACTTATTTATATTACTTTGTGATAAATACTACAAAGTTATCAGCATTACTTTTATATTTGCAATTATTTTTACGCTTTTAGATAACTTAGTACATTAGTTGTGCTAATGAACTTTTTTAAATAATTTGAACTTTTCTGTTTTCTTCTTTTTTTTATAAAAAAGTTAACATTTAAACTGCTGTCGTACAGTAATTTTTGTTCTTTTACAAATAAGCACGTGAAGACTAATTTCTTTATATTATACTTTGTTTTGACTTAATTTATAAATTTAATATATGTTATATTATATATATTCTTTGTCTGATTTACTTAAAAAAATATTCCACCATCTTAGAATATAATATTTTGTCTATAAATATTTGTGTATATGACAATTAATTTTTGGTAGCGAATAAATACAAGCCCGTAAAAAATTAAGAGATAATAAATATGCTAAACATTTACTTCATATGGCATATTGATAACATTGATTAGATAATTGAGAATGTTATAGTACAATTATTGTCAATCATTTGTATATCTCAATATATTGCTACATAGATATCGTGCAATTTGTAAAACTGACAAATTTTTTATTTATCGAAGTAATTGTAGTACTACAACCAGCTCAGTTTGTCTATTCAGTAGTTCATTAGCATTAGCTCATTATTGTTTGTATATTTCAATTAATTTCTATACGATAATATGAATTTATGCAATTTGTATTTTAATATGTATTTTATTTTCGAAGTAATTGCATCTTTTTCTGTTCACCTGTCTAAGCCTTTCTTTGTATCGTGTATACATCGACACTTATAATGGAAACCACATCAATGAGGTTAAATACAAACGTGGACTAATAGAATTGCAGTTTTCTCATCAAAAGCATGTTTGTTTAGCAACAAAGTTCTCAAAATAACTCTCTCTATCACCCGGGAAGAGCGGTGCCTTCCCAGTGTTGTAAGAGTTGTGCTAGCTTAATTGAGGTTACGCAATAGCCATGTGTGCAACAGGTATTACTCACGCATAAATGCGTCAATTCCTAATGTGTATCCCAACTGTAACTCTACACCCCAATTTAAATCCAATTGATATTTAGATCCGTCCTATTGAGGTGGCTATTTTTGTCCGCCTTGACCCGGATTAGTTTCAATACAAATATAACCTGTACTTATTTCACTTTTGGTCCTACACAATCTCCTCTCCTTATCTTATCCAACCATATTCTAACTCATATATTTGTATTATATTCCTTTAAAGTTATCTATCATATGAAACTTCACGGGTCATGACAGCATAGTCTGCGAATCAAATGCTGTAATTGTTTTTAGTTTATTGTTGCTGCTGATGTTATTGTTGTTTTTGCACTCCATGTGAGATCATCTCACGTGATGATTTGGGAGAGGGATGAGAGGAGCTTGATGTGAATTTTATCATCCCTGAATCATTATTGTTATGTTGTAAGTCGCTTCACATTGATCTGTTTGTTGGGTTCCTAATGCTAGTTTTACAACATATTCTCATTTGTAATATTAGTGATAAATTATATTTCGTTTTGCTTTAAATGACCTACAAGATTAGTTTTAGTTCCCGTAGAAATGTTTTTTTTTTCTTCCTAATTTTTGTGGTCCATATACATGAATCTTCAATCCCTATTTTGACATTAGGTCTTAAAACTTTAATTTCCTGGGTTGTTTATTCAACGATTTATTAGATGAAAAGTTTCAAATAGAAAGATTGTTTTTGTCTACCATAGCTTGATGTTAGGATCGTTATATACATCTCCAAGCCTGTATTTGTACCGCCTGAATTGTAGAAATAAGTAACTTTAAAATTACTATATTCTCTTGAAGTACCGGGTATTGTAGGCAAATAATTAAAAACCTACTTGAGAAACTTTCTTATATATATCTAAAAAAAAAACATGAATTTATAGCAACAATACATGATTTCATTTTTAGATACATTATATTCTAGAAATGCAACTAAAAGTCTATATTTTTATTACTATATAGACTGTAACTGTAAACATATGAATATACATATAGATTTGATAAATTACTATATTATTATAATTATAAGACAATACTTATATATCTGCGCTAAACTACTTAATTCTGCAGATAATTCAAATGCAGTTGTTATTTATTTACTTATTTTTTATTAATCTTTAACATTTAAGTTCTTGTTTTATATTTTTTAATTGAATATTTTTTTAATTACAACTTTTTAAATTTGTTTAACTTTTAAATTTTGCATGTTTGATTAATTCCCTATCGTGCACGTACTAACACCAATTATGACTGGTAAAACTAACATATCACCAAATACTAATAAACAATGTAAAACTGGTTTAAAACATTTTTTAACACAATTTTAATTTGAATAAAATTTTAATACTAAAATTGCACTCTCACTGAAACACTGAAAAAAAAATTAACTAACAAAATTAGTGGAAAGAATCTTATATTGATAAAAATGGCACACGTCTTTATCGAATGCATTATTTACCGCAGAATTATGTACAACGCTGTGAATTGGAAATTCATGGCAAAGAAGTCACTTGCAAATTGTCAAAAGTGGATCGCAATTATCGGTCGTCTTATGAGTTCTTCAAATTTGCATTGTTCGGTATTAATGCAATCGGTTCAAACCTTCAAAGTCTTGAGATAAACAATTATGAGAGTGGTAAGTTTCTTATAGCAATTTATTATGTATATGAACGTATAATATAAGTAATGATCTAAATTCTATTTCATAGTCATACCTGCTTACCCTGAGTTTAAGGTTGTAAATATTACGACAAATAGTGCAAATTTAACATGGCGTGTGGTCATGTTCAGTTTTTATGCTAAAAAGGGTTTAGAATATGAAGTACTTTTACGTCCAGAGAATTTCGGTTGGTCAAATCATACGGATTATGAGGTGCATTCAAGAGGTATGGATTATAGTTTACTACTGAGAAACCTTCCATACGCGTACACTAAATATAACGTCAGTTTACGAATAAGAGTTGTATCACGACATAGTGACGACACTATGTGGAGTGAGCTTTATATGCAAAGTTTTGAAACTCTACCACGTATACCAGATGCACCACCAAAAACAGATAATGGTAGCTTTTTTATTGATCCTAATGAGACCCGTGTGCGTTTGTATTGGCAACAACTACCAAATTATCGGTATAACGGCCCACATTTCGAATATATTATTGAAACAAAGCGTAATGGTTACAATATGTGAGTATAAAGTTGTTGTTATTTACTTAAATATGGAAATTATATAAATATAATATTTACTTCTATAACGTAGTGATTTGAAGCCCTTGTCAATTGATAACACTTCTGCAATTTTCCCCTGGAAAAAAGAACATCAATATGAGTTTGTAATCAAAAGTCGTAATAATGTTGGTGAATCATTGGAAAGCAGCCAAATAATAGTTCCAGCATGGCCAGATTCGTATAAATTAAATTCTCCCAAATGGATTAGAAATATATATCATGCAGCTAATCGTACTTATACGCTGTCATGGAGTGCACCTGCAAATATAACCAATTTAGTCGATTATACGGTTTTTTGGTGTCCATCCAAACCGAATGTACTGAACGAATGCAAAGTAAATATTATTATAAAATGAAATATTATTATTTTACATTTCGTTGATAATATATATTCTTCTTATTCTTTAGGGGTCGTTACATTTTGAGCATGTTAATAAATATGAGACAAAATTCACTACTGCACCTCAGCATCGAGATCAAGAGCATATACTTAATTTAGCTGTATCTGCAAATTATATTGATACAAATATGGGTATGCATTGGACAATGTGTACTGCAGATGTAACAAGTGATTTGGAAAATTTGGAACCGGAAATGACTGCTATATCTGCTCGTACTATACAATTAGATTGGAGTCCAGATCGTGTGTGTTCATCCTTAATTGAGGGTTATAATATCACTTACTGTAAAGTCAAACGTAATGTTAATATTACATTGGAATCAGATAAATGTTTAAATGAAAATGTAACAATCACCGTTGAGAAAACTGCTAAAAAATTTATACTTACTAATCTGACTCCATATTCAACTTATAAAATAGAAATGTTTATGTTTTCTAAACTGAAAAATGGTAAAAGTAGCGATGCCAAAATAATAACAACAAAAGAAGAAGGTACGTTTTTATAAAATTTTGATTACAATTTGATTAATTTAATTCCATTACTAATTGAAAAATTGCAGCACCTTCAGCTCCACGAAATTTACTGTGTGGGAATAGGACAAGTAATTCAGCTTGGCTATCTTGGTTACATCCTGAGCACTTCAATGGAAATTTAACTTCTTATACAATTGTGTAAGCTTTCAAAATAACATATTTTTAATATTTTAATATAATTCACTATTTGCAATGACCACTGTGATTATTTGCATTAATTTATAACATTTATTTATTATATTTATTTATAATATTTAACTTATTATATTTAATTAATCTAATATTTATTCTATTTATTTATTGTATTTAATTTATTATATTTATTTATTATACATATTTATTACATTTATTATATATTACATTTACATTTACATTTACATATTACATTTATTATATATATATATATATATATTAATTTAATGTATTAATTCATATATATTTAATATTAATTTATATATATATAATATATTTTTTTCATTTACTTTCTTTGGATTGCACATTGCATATGTTTTTTGCAGTGAGTGACAGTGATAAATAAGATTATTGTTATTTTTAGTATTGCTTCAAAAGGTTAGAGCATAACGGTTTCCAAGTTATTCAAGTTTACTCGAATTCGAACATTTCAAATATTCGTAAAAATTTCAAACTGTTTGAGTTAAACGGGCAGACAATCTTCTTAAAGTTTATTTTATTTTCGTTCTATCTTAAACAAATATATATAACAGCAAATGCGAATGCAATATGTGTTCGACAATTTTCGAACGGTTTACTACGCTCGAGTATATTATAAAATAAAAATACTAGATAATTATAAGTATTATTGCAGAAATTCCTATTCTTACACATTTTTATTATTTTTGCTTTCAGTTTAAAAAGTAAAAATCATGTTATGAATTATTCTGTTGAAGCTTTAAATGGCTTAGCTAAATTAAATGAGACAATTACATTTAATCTGAAGGACTTAAGCAGTTTTACTAACTACACTGTATATGTAACAGCACATACAGTAGAAGCGTCTTTGCCTAGTAATATAATAAATTTCCAAACGTTAATAGGAAGTAAGTATAGAAGTGCAATATTTTTTAATTTCCTTATAATATTGTGTATAATATTTTGCAGTACCGTCAAAACCCTTACACATGACCGCTGTAGAAAATAATCGCACTGTTATGCATTGGTCGAAGCCGGAGAAACCTTCAGGACGTGTTGAATTCTATGAAGTATCTGTTAAAGTTTGGCATAAAGATCAATTACAAAAACAACGTATATCTACTGTAATAGGAACGGAATCATGTGTAATTAATATGCCAATGTGTAAAGATGCAGATTATAAGCATACGTTAGAAGTACGTGCGGTAAATGTGGCTTCTGATAGTGAAATTGATCAACAAATTTTTATTGATAATAATACGGAAGATGAAAATATCTATGAAGGCAACAATGAACTTGTTTGTATCGCAACAGGAAAATTACAGTCAGCAAGTGAGTTTAATGCGCTTTCACTTAGTTATCGTGGCGTGAAAAATCGTGTATACTACAAGTCAGTTTGGGAAAAAGGGCCGTTTTATGGTTGTGCAGCTACATCGAAACTGAGTACCGATACTATGTGGGCTCTTGGTAGCACGTTCATTTTATTGATGACATTAACTTTAGTTTATATGCTGCACGATAAATGTAGTAAAATGAAAAATATCAAGTGTACATTACCAAGTGGCTTAGCTGAAATTGGTGTTTATCCAACAAAAGGAGCTGCCGATCATAGTGTATTGAATAATGATATAGCTGATAAAATAATTGAAAAGACACCATTTAGTAATTTTCATACTTTGCATGATGATTTACCATTTAATAATGAACATCATCACTTGCTCTCCTCTATGTGTAACGATTCTGGATATTTGGGTGATGCAGTTGCTGGTTTGAGTAGCACAGCAGGTATTAGTACCAGTAGCAACGATACTGTTGATGATAATTGTGCAAATTATGTTCCAAATGAAGAATTTACCGTAATGGAGCAAAATTTACCAACAAGTAGTGATGCTTATATGGTGATGGAAATGATTAAAGCAAACGATGACAGAATGCACATAGATAATCCTTATGTACCACCCGATGCTAGTTTAGAATCAGATTTGGCACCAATATCGATTAGCTCAAATATTGGATTTATACCTACTGATAATAACTATGTTAAACCAAATCAAAAACTCAATTGGCAACAAACACCAACAAAATCTATACCAACTACTGAATTTCCTATTGACAGCTTATCAATTAATGAAACAGGCTATGTTCGACCGGATCAATTGCAAAAGGTGAGGTTTTATTACGATTTTCAATAATATGCAGTTTAAATAATATATTAATTTCTTTTAATAGGATGCATACGAAAGAAATTCTTTAATAAATGCCACACAACAAAACGAAATTAAACCCACTCTACAAGCACCCACATCACCGCTTCAAAATGTGAACATAGATATAGCAATGCCGCCCATATCGGGTTATGTAACACCAAAGGAACTATCTGCATATTTTCAACAACAACGTATAAGTTGAATTTAAAAAAAATATCATTAAAATTTGTTTAAATACCATTAAAAATTTTTATTTTAAACAAATATTTTAATTGTAATTTCAAACAAGACTTATGCCATGTTCAGACATAATATGCAAAACATTACTAAATTGATAATCAAATGTTATTAAAAGTAAATTAATTATTTTAAAGTGAAAAATTAACAAAATATTTGAATTGTGTCTCTGAATTCTTAACATTTTCATCAGATAATCTTTTAAAAGCACTAACAACTTTTTTTTTAACATTCACTAACATTCACAGAAGTTATAAAATGATTTCCTTAATTTTAAGTGTGAACATGGCATTACATTATTCATAAAAATAGTTCATTATTATATATATGTACGTATTAATTTCAACATAAACATTTCATACCTTTTTTTACAATTTCCATACAATATAACAATGACAAAAATTTCATTCATCATTGTAATTAATATTTTTTAAATTATATTAATTTATATTAATTTTAACGTAGTAATTTTAGTGCTAATATGTGCCTTTTATGTTAACATTAACAAATGTTATATTATATTAATAACTACTATAGTTTTATATAGTATAAGTAACTAAGTTGAAATAATATAAAAAAATAAAATCAAAATATGTTAACTGATATATTAGTTCAAATAAAATAGTGTAATCAATCAGTTATTAAAGAAAACAAAAAGAATTATTTTGAAATTTTTCTTTTATTTTATGTATTATACAATTATTTTATGAAAACAAGAGTATTTCATAATAATAGTTTGTGGATTTATTTTAATTAAACTAATATTTTTAGAATATCTAGCTTTAAATTAAATTTATTTAATAACACGAAGTAATTATGTGGCCTTTAAATTTGTTAAACAAAAACGTTTTATACGCATAAATGTGGAGTTTTTATCCATATAGTACTTACTTACATATCGTAAGCTTGTTTAATAAATTAAATATTTATGTTCAAATACAAAATATATCTTTTTTTTATATCACTGATAATATTAATATTTGGTATGTACAGAAACAAGAAACAAAAAAGTTTAAATTAAATAAATTTATTATATAAAAAGTTGAATGAGTTATAGACGTAAAAAAAGCTCATAACGTAATAGAAAAAGAATCGATATAGTAGTGGAGTTATTAAAGGGATTGGTAGAAATGCTGAATGCAACCTGACTATATCTGTTGATATATAGCTAAATTTTTGTGTACAGAGGAAAGTAGATATTGGGCTAAAAGTGTTGAATATACACTTTTTATACAATGAATAATTTTTTATTAAGTAAACAGATTCTGTTTATCATCAGTAATAGAAGAGTTATAAATGGTAACTTCTTATAACGTTCAATACCTTAATTAAGTAAATTTTTTTGTTGGTATATATTTAATTTTTTTACGTGTAATACTAGAATTTTTTATTTAATTAAAGTAATTAAAGCAAACCATTATAGTTACTTAATTTTTTGAAACATAACTTTATTCTTGAATAAGATGGTTGATAGTATGGCGTCACACCTTAGCGAAATCGAGCAAAATATGTTAGCAGGTTATTTCATGGGCTATTATGGCTTCCGTTGCCATTTCAACAGTGATCTGTTTGAGAATACAGAAAATCGTTTCTGCTTCGAGGCAGATGAGACCTCTAAGTGACAATCTGACTTATATTTTTAAGGTGTTTTTGGCTATGGTTTAGGTTAGGAGGAGATTACTAAACCTAGTAATCAGTTCTTTAATCAAAGCACTGCGTTTTGTTTATTGTAAAGTTGTGTTTCGTTGGCAGGTAGTATCTTGTAAATTTGGTATTCTATTTTAATCTCTCGGTGTTTCCAAAGAACATCGTTGGATCCAGAGGTAGTCAAAGAAAGAGGGACCGGGACTATGGAATAATGAGGGAAAACATTGCCAAAGATTTAAGCAGTGTTGTACAGCAATATGTGAATAATTTTGAAAGCCTGTGATTTTTTTCTATTAAAATTTTATTTGTAAATGTTAGAGAATTTCAGTCCAATATTTATATTTCTTATAGAAAAAATGTTCTTTGTTTTTTTTCGCGAATTTTGTTTTTTTTTTATTGTTTTGGTGTTATGTGTGAAAAAGTTTCATACATCGAGTAGGAGCTACGAGTATGGTATAGGGCCCATACTCGTCTGTCTCCATAAATCTAGCAAACAATAGTAAACCAAGTATAACGTTTATAAACTATAAAGTATTAAATCAAAACAACATTGGATTTATATCTGTAAAAAATATTATAGTTATAAAAATGATATTTAAATTACTGGAAATTTTAAATCGATTGACATAGTAACAAGAAAATATATATTTTATACATTTTATTTATTAGCATGTATTTGAACATATAAATTATTACATCATTTAAACTGTCTTCATTTACTGGTTATTTGTCTGGCGTAAATTGTTTAAAGGAACTTTTATTAGTTGTTCGAAGTCTTTAATGTTGTCTTCTGTAACTAGGGACTTTGTTTCTTCGATAAAATAATCCATAATATCTTTCACTCCTTGTGTATTGGCATCAGTGCACGGAACCGAAGCTGCTAACAAAGCAATGGAGAACTTTTCGATAAGTGAAACTATATTCTTATTTTCAACCAAGCCTTTATTGTTATGACGTATAGCAGCTTCGGCAACACTACAACATCTTTCCCTTATACACATAGGGTCCGGTGACATTTTTTCATCTGATGCTGGATTAAGTTCTGGAGCATATGTTAATAACTCATTGGTATATTCATGTATGTTGTTATTTATTTTTTTTAAAGATGCAATAAGTGAAGTGTAACGTTCCTTAAATTCTACACTGAGTTCGAGTGGAGTGCCACGTGAATTGCGAGAATCATTGACTGACTTTTGACCAATTTTTGGATATAAGGTATTTTCAGCTTCATCATTTAGATCGCGTACTTTATCAACAATTTCTTTTTTATTTGCTACAGTCCGTTTTAAAAGCATAAGAGCTTTGATAAGTTTAGTTGGATGTCCGTTAATGCAATCATCTTCTAATCTTTCTGGAATAGGAGAACGTTGAACTGCTTCCCCGGTTGTGGTGGTTTCATTTTCATTGATGTTAATATTTTTTTCAATACAATCAAATTCTGTTTTGACATTCCAATTGGGCTCATCGATAGAGAATGTTGCATAAGTTTTTTTCCACATTATATTAATGTCATTTATAAATTGCGTTCCTATTTCATTACAATAAAATTGAATTTCATATGTAAATGTATCGCTATTAAATGCAGTAACGATTCCATCATAAACGCCAACCCATGGGCTACGCAAAAGCACTGAAACTTCTGTGTTCACAGGCAGAACATGTGGTATTTCATCTGGTATATCCAAAGCCATGGGCATACATTCATCACTTCTAATTTTTGATAGTTGAGCATATCGTATTATTTGCCGCATGCGTTCTAACTCTGAGCGCTCTCTATTGATGAAGCGGTCTGTGAAGCGTTTGGGTTTACCCAAAATTGAACGAATTTTTTGCCATTCAATACGTGTAAGATTTCTAGTTTTAAAATCGGGCAACTTATTCTCTAATAACAATTGAAAGTCATCCTGCTCATAAAAAAACGAATAGTCAGTAAGTGAATAAAAAAATTCACATAGCATCCATCTATAAGGTAGTGCGAATTGTAGCATATTCTGTATACGTTTACTAACATTTACAGCATTTTCCAAATCAGGATCGCATTCATCATCGTATTTTATATCTCCTTGAAGTAAATCATTACCTAAGTAAAACCGTGTATACACATCAATGACATTGAACACTTCCATTTTGCGTCGAGGAGTATTTTTACGTCTCTTCAACTTTATTGGTGGCCATATATTTCCAGTGTCAATCAATCTAATCTTAGAGAATTCATTCATTTTTTTGTAATAGAAATTTAATTGAACTGTATCTAATAATGCAACTATTAAATGATGTTCTAGGCAAACTTGTTTCGTACTGCTATTAAGTTGATTACAAAATTGCCAAAAATGTAATAGAATACACAATTCTTTAAAGAAAATGTTTAAAATTCAAAATGATAACTGTGTTCATTATATTTCCCTTAAGTAAGCGATTACCGGTTACTTGTTTGCATACAGACATAACAATGAACACAATTACCACAAGACGAGACTTATAAAAGCAGTCTCTTACAATTTTTAATGTTTTTATTGCTAAGATGAGGTACTTTACATTATGGCTGAATAAGTTAATGTAGGCGAAGACAACATAGGAAACTCAGAAGACAACATTGACAAAAAGTAATTCGTTGAGTCATAACGCACACACAAAGAAATACAATGTAATTACTCATTACAATATAATTTTCTGATACAAAGTCGAGGAATTTCGTTTGATTGTTATGGTTATAAGTTGAATTTGTGGTCATAAACGTAGCGCACGTAGAAAATGAAAACGAAACAGTGTGGAAAAATTGTTTGCTTATGACCAAATACACACAACGCAAAATAATATAAAAACTCAAACAACACAAGTTCAATCCGATCATCAAAAAGTGCGCACACATAGCAATGCAATGCATTGCATTACAATCTTATTTAAAAGATATCTCCTGTTGGTTTAGATATGTTTGTTGTCTAAATATTAAACTTTCCGTATTTGCCTTTCTAATGTTTGCCTTACCCACGATTACTGGAATAAGGTTTCGGATTTTGATCTTTGAGGTCCAATGACCGAAATTTGTCTATTTTACATTCAAGTCAAACACTGTTGCTTTCTATATTTTTCATCTGCTAAAAAAAGGATATTTCATAGCTTACGCCAAGAAACAAATTGATACCAATACCAATTTCTCGTATATTTGTTTTGACACGAATAGTCAATTACATTATCTTCTACAAGGTAGAATGGATTAGTTGATTTTTTACAGCACAGCTAAATCAGTTTTTATCTATATTTAAACTTCAGCACGAATAAATTAATAAATTTATTTTAAAAAGATAAAACAAGTTAGCTGATTGCTTACGGCACAACTAATTCGGCATGTATTTAGCGAAATATCGATATATCATATCACAGTTATATTATTAGTTTCAATAATTTAAAGGTAATCAATGAGCAGCGTTGAAGTGTTTTTTTTTTCAGCGCATTTTTCTCTCAAATTTATGAGTACTATTAGCAGAATAAATGTGGCTTTAACAGTGATGGCAGTCTGTGGTTTATGATAATAGCCAGTGATTTATGGTGGAAATTCGAGTGAGAAAGATATATATAAACAAATATTTTTTGTTTCGTTAGCTTAAATGTTTAAAAGCAATATGAAATGTGAAATGTATTATAAATAAATTAGGGATAAGTATATAATTCATACTATTACAAAAAAAATAAATAATAGACAAATATACTGTGAAATAAACTTTACGAAAAATAATAATTTTATTTTTGGTTTTCTTATACAATATTTTAGTATATTGTATCTAAAAGTTGTCCGAATTCTAGAATTTTGTTCACACCAGGTGTACTGTTCAGTGGTAGTTCACGTCATTGAGGTTTGTGCTTGAGTTATCTTTATCATAGGGCTAAAAGACGTCCGTATCTGCATTCTCACAGATAATCAAGGAGCAATGAAAGCATTTTGCTTTGAAAGTTTTCTTTCAGATTCTTGATAGACTGTTATGACATACTGGAGCAAGTCAGAAGAAAAACCCAGAAGGTGGTGGTTTTCTAGTTAAATGTTTACAGCCTCAAATATTAATATCTTGTGAAGTGAACTATATAGCGTAATGGGAAAAGTTGCTTACATCGGCGAACCCGCTTTAGCATTACTATGAGATTCTGCGACACACAGTCACGTAGCCGAACGCAGATATCTTAGGGTTTCAAAGCTATATGCCCTCAGTTAAAATAACTCTAAAACTTACGATATGTGGGAGCTAATAATTAAACTTTGAATTAATATTAATAATCTGATAATTTTTTTATTGAAAAATAATATACATTTATTTTAATGAACATGTGATTTATTTATTTTTTTTTGTTAAATAAATTACATTTTGTAATTTCATATATTATATATAATTTAAATATATTTAAAAATAAATAAAAAAATTATTTAATAATATAATATAATCCGTTCATAATCAAACTACAATATTCAATTTTTTATGAAATAATTATTTAAACTATTTTTTTGTTTGTATTTGCCACACTTTACTTTCCAACCATTGTAAAATCATATTTTAAATTTATATATAGAATTTAATTATTAATTTAAAGTAATTTTTTTTATTTTAATAATATTTATAAAGTTGTGATTGTGATTGCTGTACAGTTTCCGTGTTTTAAGTGCAATTTTAGTAAAAATAGTTTTTTTTTTGTTAATTTTTTTGATTAATTGATTAAATTTCTTTTAAAATAATTTCACTAAACTAACTTTTCTGAGTATCTAAATCTAAAGTTAAATTTAAACGCCTAGAATTTTAACTAGTAACTTTACTAATAAGAATTTGATTTTTTCTTTAATTATTTATTTATATTTTTAATTAATATTAAATGCTTTAAACTACACATACACTTAAGTTTAACATTTGTTAATTATAAAAGAAATTATATCAACAAAGTGCGTTAATTTTTTTTTTGAAAATTTTCAAAATTTATAAATATTTTTAAGTGCTTTAAGGCTTTAGAATATGCTTCCATTTCTTTTAATTATTTTTGTAATTTTATTTTTAATGTTTAATACTAAACTTTAAATTATTCTCTATTTTTAACACATAATTTTCGTTTACTTTTAAGATTTATTGCTTATAGTTTGCCATTGTGTTCAGAAGGTTGTGTGTTTCGTTTAATGCCTTTTTTATTTATTTAATATTATTTTATTCTATATTTTTATTTACACATAAATTTTTAAGTATACACATTTATTAAAGTAATAAGTTCCTTGAATATAATAGTTAAAATAATTAATGAGTAATATTATATTATGAGAGATTGACTACTGTAATAATAAATAATAATAAAAGTAAGGAATATAAAAAAAGAATTAATAACTATATATATTTAAAAACTGTTATTATTAAGCAGAATATTAATGGAATGTTATGTGAAACATAAATAATCTTGGTTTGAATATAAGCGTAATTCTTTAATTAACTTAACGTTATTTCCAGTACTAAAATTGACCAAACACTTGCAGTTATCAATGTATCCGGTTGGTACTGAAATGTCCACCTTTTTATTCAAAATTAAGAATATTGAATATGGAATCGATACAAATATCCGAACTAGTTGAAGAGGAGTCATTGCTTCTTCCATTTTATACTAAAGATATAGAATATGATTGGAGCAACATTTTTTTAGAAAGTAATAGATCTTACTTAGTCGTTAGTGAGTGTCACTGTGTGCCATAAAGGAGTGCAATTAAAAATAAAAAAATAATTGATATATAGTTCGTAATAAAAAATTATTTTTCCTCCTTCTCTACAAACGTTATTAATGCTTTTATTTAATTGACAAGATTAAAAATTTGTAGACTTATTTGCATATTTATAGTAGTAAAAAAACTCATCAAGAAAGTAAAATTTCAAATTAATTGCATATATATAGGGTCAAAAAAAAATTTTTTTATTTTATTTTAATTGCACAATTATAGGGATATAAAATCTTATAAGTAGTTTCATTTAATTATAATATAATTTTATTTATTTATTTATACCATATACCATATGAAACATAATGAATAATCATTATGATCTAATGAATTATCTTGATAGATAATAAAAGATTAATGGACTAAATAAATAATTATTATAGGTGGAAAAGTTGGAGGATTAAAATTTTTTTTTTTATATAAGAGAAAGAGGATATTAATGAGAAGGGGTTTAAACTCATAAATAAAATCCAATAATAATAATAACTTTATGTTAAATAAATTATAATAAAAATATAATTTTGAATTCGTGCAAATCACAAAATTGAATAGTTATTCACTAGTTTAAAGTTAGTAATTTTAAATAATTATTATAATATTAATATTATATAGTATTTGTTTTAAATACACATTTAGTTTTTTTTGGAATTTTTTAAAAATTTTTATTAAATTAAAAAATCAGTCTTAATAAAAGCCATTAAAAATTTTTGCCTAACTTTAAAATTATTTTTTTATTTAGTTTTTTGTGTATTATTTGGAAAGTTTGTTTTAAAAAGTTTTAGTTCTAATAAAATTATTATTTTTTTTATAAAATCATCATCAATTAAAATTTAGTATTATCGTAATTAAATTTTATATTAATTATTCGAATTTTAATATATATTCGATGGGTTTTAAATTTGTTAGTATTAAATTATTATTTATTTTTATTATTATTGTTATTATTATTATTAAATAGTTTTTCTAAAATTAAAATGGCGTTCAACTATTTTTAATTATAATGCTTTTTGTGTACATAAACACAAACACACACATAGAAAAATACACTAAATTTTAATTAAATAGCTTATATATATTTTTATTTTAAATATATATATATGTATATGTGTATCGTTTTGGTTAGTTAGATATTGCTTTTATTTCAGGGGTAAGTCGATTTTTAGAGCTTAAAATGATTCTCACAAATGAAAAATTTAGACAATATTTTCAAAAAATATATTAACTTTTTGTTAAGCATTTTAATTGTATATACTATATAGTATATTAATAATAAAACTTTATATATTATACTCTGCATACTTATAAAATATTTACTATACATATGCATATTTTATAGTTGAACCTTGAGTGTCTGTAGAAAATTGAACACGGAGGTCAGGCAGAAAACTCCTATAATTTTTAATATTAATTTTAATCAATTTAATTTAAATTAGTTTTAAAGTAAAAATTAACAAAGTCAGTGCATAAAATTTGATTGATTGGATAAGCGACAATCAGAAATGTACGATAGTTAATAGTTAAAACCATAAGATATAAAGTTTAATTTATTGTTATTATTTTAGTCTGACATTGAGCCTCACCAGTTATGGAAAAAGTATACGAATTTCTCTTCGGAGATTTGGTATCTGCTGTGGAATAGTAAAATTTATAGAAGGATCTCTTGATGTCACCGTTATAGAATAGTGGAAAAGTGCACGAATTTGTTTTTAAAGATTTTGAATTAACTGAAGTAAAGCAATGAGGATGGGAGTTAGCTAAATAAAAAAAATGGGTCTTCTCACATTTGTAATGTCTATAATGTCTATAATGTCTATAGAAGTATGTAAATTCAAAATATTTTTTACATACAAAAAAAAAATTGAAAAATTGAATGTTTTAGGAATTACTTGAAGAACTCTTTTTCTAATAGAATATTATATCAATATCAACAACAATATTAGCAAAGAAGCTAATAGGTTTTTAAACAGTGATGCTCTGACTTTGTTTATATATTTGACTACACTGAGTAATTATAAATAAATATATAATAAATATATTTACATAGTCCTATAATTTAATTTTATTTTTGCAAATTTGTGATTCTGGTTCTTCATATGGTTTTGTCTTCATATGGTTTTTTCATTTTTCTACATAAAACGAAATCAAACACAGCGCAAATTGTTGAGCACATTTTTGTATGTACGTACGTACGAGTACAACATTTACGAGTACATACATATATAATTGTTGACTTACAAAGCTACTTACAAATAATTATGTGTGGACTATATATAACAAATAGGCATACCTACCTACGAACTAGATACATTCTAACATATATATACATATACGTATATGTAAGTATGTTTTAGAAGTCTAAAGATGATTTGATTAGTTATAAGAAAATTACAATATCAGTGTTTACTTATTTTAGTAGGCCGGTGAGGTTCGAGTGTATGCGTAGGTATGTGCATTAATGAATGTGCGTGTATGTTTTATAATATCTGCGCGCTTATTTCTTTAACTAGAATCAATTCCATTTTAAAATGAACTTATTATATATAACCTATATATATAATTAATTATTATATATCTAAAATATTTACAATTTACACAGTTTTATATTCATTACTTTTTACTTAAAACTATTTTCACAAAATGTATATACTGTATACTAAAAGAGGTAATAATATGAAACTAACTTAATTCGTAGAACTTAACTAATCGCTGTTTAAGTCATCTCCAATTAGACTACGATCCATGCCTTTCCAACTACTCGTGCTTAAAGCAGATGCTGTAATGCCGTAAGTCCCACCGGGTAAACGTTTTTGTCGACAAAGCGCTACACGCGTTTTGTTCGGTGATGTGGGCTGCAGTAACGGGGAAGTTGCTTGTGGAGAGTCCATGTCATCGGTATTTTCCTCAGGACAACTGTCCGATGCCGATGCCAGACGTTCACGCGTTTTAATTGACTTTTCCAAACGTCTCAGAAATCTAGACATAGCAGGCTCATTATTTCCTAGCTGATTATAAAGAATGAGAAATGAGTATTTACCTTATTTGATTTCCAATAGCACGTAATCTATTTATTTTACATTTGGGCTTGGCAACATCCACTTCCTTAACTATGCTTGGTGAGATGCGACGCAACAGTGCCTTAAAATAAAGAAAAAATTAAATTACTTTATCATTGTAAATGCTTGCAATTTACATCAGCCACTTCATCCTCACTAAGGCTTTCTTGTTTGCGAGGTTTTCTCTCTTTGTTGGGTGAATTAAGTCCTGCAAAAAGAAATATACCAAATCTGTTAAAAATCTTGAAACGAATTGTTTTTTGTAGTATACATAAATGCAGAGCTGTGAATCGTATATATAGCTAAAGTTGTTCGCTTCAGTGATTCGAGAATACTCTGAACCATTAGTTAAGGATTTAATATAAATCCACAACTGTTCTTAAGGTTCTGGTTCTAAACCGTTTCATTTCATAATTGGTTCGCTTCGTAATCGATTCTGTTTATAACCAATTCACAGCCCTAATATACTAGTGGACACACTTGTAATAAAAAAAGTTGCTTACTTCTTGGCAGCGGTCGTATCGATAATTCTCTTGTTGACGTTAGACTTTCGGAAGAGGATGAGCTACTCGCTATTGGCAAACGATTGAGTATACGTCTTTTAGGACTTTTTCTTGTTGTTACTGTAGCGGCAGGGCATGGGTGATTATGTGAATGACAATGTTTGTTACAAACATGTTGTATACCGGTAGTAGTATTTGTGTTCAATGATTCCTTTGATGGCACTTCCAATTGTTGCTTTGTAGGCGATTGTGATGTTGAGCACTTTGATGATTTTCGTTCTCGTTTCTTGCTACTGCTACGACGCTGATGAGTATAGGAATGTGCTGATGCACCTTTACCATCGGATGATGGAAAATCATACAAACCATCGGAATCAGTAAATGGTAATTGATCTTTACGACCATAGAAATGTGGTGAAAATCTACCCAAGCCAGCACGATCGCTAAGTGGACTCTCTGAACGTGATGATACCGGTGATAGTCCTTTTTCGTTACCATCAATTTGTATCACAATAGATGGCAGTTGTAATTGTGACATTTGATTAACATTCGGTAACATATTACCCGAATTACTAAGTGTTTGCGGCTCGTCAACTTCAATTAGAATTTGTTCTTCCATAAATACATCGAGTTCTCTCAAACGAGTGTTATTTAAACGATTATCTTCTAGTTTCTCGTCAACATGATCGGTACCAATTCCCTCGTCATTGGATTCAAGTAAAATGTCATCGGAAAAAGTCTCCGAATCTGAACGTTGCCTATTGCCATGTAGGCGATCGGTGCTGCTACCGCTAGCCCCACTGCTTCCTGTACCTGTGCTCTTGCCATTAGTTATATTTTCCTTACAACTTGATAATGCCGAATTTCGGCGTCGATTCATGAGGTTAACATGCAATGAAAGACCAGCACCAGAATGTCCACTACCTGGTTCATCCATTTCATTTGGGCAAAGTGGATTGCTGGAACCACAACGGCTTGGACCAGGGCTAGCCATACTCGAATAGCCCGATGAGCTTAGATTACTTTCGGATATTGTGCGGTCAGCTCGTCCACACATTGTAAATGGACTAAGGTAGCACATGCCGACTGGATTGGGTGGCATCAAGCCACCGCCACCAGTGGTCTTGACAGCTGGAGACATAGGCTCATTGTCAGATTCCATTTCACTCATATTCGAGGTTATTGTAATCATTGGTGGCACAAAAGGAAAATCCAACGATGTTGGCTTCTCGAATTGTTTTAAGAGCCTAAAATTTTTAACCGTCGAATTAAAGGAAAATAATAATTTAAATTTATTGCTTTTCTTATGTCGACTTTTAATTTTGCATAAAACATTAAATTGAGAAGCGCTAAATAAGAAGCATTAATTAGTTGAAACAAAAAGGATACACAAAGGGGAAACATTGAACTATATTTTTATTGATTTCTAGAGCTCTAAGTATATTAAAAATTTGAGACTATAATAATAAGCAATTATGGATGTATTAAAATTTGAAATGAGTACGTGTCTTGATTAATGTTTGAACGAAATTGAATTAAACGAATTAAACGAATTAAGACGAATTTTGTTTGTCTGAAAGAACAACTAAATACGGAAACTACATGGAAGTCGATTACCAGAGTTACAAATAGGCTTGGAAGTTGTGTTTCTTCTTGTATACCTTTTTTGTTGTTGTTTATTTGGAAACATAAAACTGGTTTCACCTATGCTGGCGCGTTGCGGTGGCGGAGATCCTGGAAATATAATCATTGGATAACGATTTTTTGTAGGACTCGGCTGTTCCACCGTTAATGTTGGTATAATCAGATCACGAGGACGTATAGCTTTATCTTCAGGCGTTGGTGGTTCTACGTCTATAGTAATCATTGGCGGTATGAGCGCATTCATCGGTAAAGTAGGCGCTGGAGAAATATGCAACAATGGTAACTTATTGAAAGGATGTGGCTTATTGATATCTGCCATGCACGTAGTTGTAGTATCTGTAGGCGTCGTCTCCACATCAGTGTCAATGTTGTCAGAACGATTGCGTTGTAAACCAAGTAATAATCTCTCCTTAAAGGGAAAAGAAAAAATAAATTTTATAAGAAAATAAATATCAGAAATATTCTTTTCATTTAGAATGGGCATTTTTATTAAAGGGTATCATCACATTGTTCGAATAAGTAAAGGTTAGAAATTTTGCTATATATATATGAGGAAATTTTTATTGAATAACTAGAAGGGTCTAAGCATATATTTAATATTACAATTGATAGCAATAAAAGCTTCTTTGTTAATATATAGAAAAATAGTTTGCCTTTTACAATTTGTCGCTAGATATTATCCGAAGTCTATAACTATACCGTCATCTGAGTCCACCTATTAAGAAAAATTAATATTTTTAGCAGACATGAATATTTCAATATTTAAATTGTAGCAAATTAAAGCAAAGCTTAGGTTTAGTTTTATTTTTGGATAATTTATCTAAATTAAGGGCCTAATTATAATATTTAAAATTTGTATTCACAATGTTTGGCTTGTGCATTTAAATTTAATTAAATAGTTGAAATTTTAAAGTGATATAATAAAGGACAAAAATTTATAATCAGAGTTAACAAATCACTTAACTTTATTTATAAAAAAATTTAATTAAAATCTTAAATCAGAGAAAAATATCAAAGATAAGTGCCTAAAGCAAACATATAATTTATTTACAATTTTTTTTAAAAAAACTTTTGCTCACATATATCAACTGAGAGGTTTTTCACAAACATGTCAACTGAGAGCTTTCTCTCATACATGTCAACTGAGAGCTTAACTTAAAATTTGATGTTTTATTTCCTTTATTTGATTATCACAATTGGAACTAAGACAACAAATTAATTAATTATTATACGTAGCGATAATGGAATACTGCTGCGTTTGCTATAGACCGTGCTTTCTCTGAAGGTAGTCCCCTAGGGTAATTAGAGCAAGTTAGAGTTTTTTATAAAAAAAACTTCACAACAATCTTGGTTCTTAAATAAACCATCTTGGTTCTTGTAGAAATCTTGGTTCATCTGAAAACTATAATGAAAACTGTAATTCAAGTCCTACAAATCCTGAGTAAGAAATTTGAAATCAGGAAAATATATGACTAAATAATTTTAATGATCATAGAGTTAATGATGTTTAATAGTAATATTTTTTTTAAAAATATTCATCATCTCAGAGTGACCAACTTCTCATTAACAGTGAAAAAAGTGTGAAAAGTAAGTAAAAGATTATTAAGATTATGTATTATTTAATAAGATGATTATTTATAAAATGCGTAAAATTCAAATGTTTGGGTATACGTTCTTAAGTGAGATGCATTATTACGAGGGCGATTTGATAAGTCAGTGTTACTCCAAATGCAACTGCAGTGCTGCCTTCAGCTGTAATCTACCAGCGGGTAACTTTTTAATTTTAGGATACGAACTGCTACCCCATTCAGCATATTCTCCACATTTAGCCCCCTGCGACTATTTTCTATTTCCAAACCTAAAAAAATGGCTGGGCGGTAAGAGATTTGAGTCGAATGAAGAAGTCATTACCGAAACAAACGCGTATTTTGAGAGCTTTGAAAAAACCTATTATGGACTAAATGGACTAAATGTATCGAGCTAAAAGGTGATTATGTAGAAAAATAAAATGTTTATTTGCCGAAAAAAAATTGTTTTATTCAAAAAGTCACTGACTTATCAAACCGCCCTCGTAACATATTTTTATCGAAGCCGTATTTAAATAAATAAACTAATATACAAACAATACTTTTAAATTCGAAAGAGGCATTCCTGTTCAGTAGGACAGAGATAAAGTTGTTGGCAGATAATCTGTCGGGTAATCTTATCCGTATTTTCACAAGATAGGTATTTTTGTAGTCACAGAGTGCCGTCGTTATCTACTAGAAGATGAAACTTCTAATTAAACTCTTTGTGAGTGTCTGACTGCGGTTCATGTTAGGAGCAGAGCATTGGGCTGGGAACTTATCAAATATTAGGAACTTCTTATAGAGAGATATTCTGATCATCATTCGAAGATCTGAACGTATTTTGTTTTGTGAAGGTAAGTTCTTAGTACTAAAGGGTAGGTCGTTCGCACAAAAGAACTACGATGTTCTCAGTGATACTTAAGGCTTAGAACTCAGAAATTTTTAATTGTGTTGTAAATGATTAAATAAAATTTAGATATAGTTACTATAGTTTGTGATATGAAATATCTCTTTTTATTAAAAACTAAATAATTTTTATGAATGTTTTGGAACTTCTCTAAATCCAAAAGTAATTGTTCTTTTTGTTTAGTGTTCGTACGAGGGCAGAGAAGAGGAGTTAAATAAATGATATCTACATTTTTTTTATAAATATTTAAAATTATCTTGATTATTTAAAAAGTGTTTTGCTGTACAATTTTGTAGATATAAATTTGGAATTTTTGAAAAAGTGGACTAAAACTATACATAATTGATAGCAGTGTCTAAAGGCTTTCTATGTGTTTGAGTGTGATAACGAAAAGATATGAAGTATTGAATGATTGATATATTTTACTTACTGATAGTTGTGCGTCACTACGTTCACTGCGTTCACTTTTGATTTCATCATCACTAAAATCTCCACTAGATAACGGATCCTCTTGAAATATTGGACTGTTTGAACGTTGTGGCCTAGGCATGATAGGCGTAAGCGCTGGTGATGGAATCGGTGTGGGCATTTCTCGTATTGGTGATAAGCATTTATTATTTATGCCATTGCTTGGTATTTCAAGTAGAATCGTCGGTGGGTGTAATAAATTCGTTGAACTAGACGATGTAGACGACGATGGCGATGATGTTTTGTGCGCATTTAAAACATCAAGCACTGGCACTTCAATAGTCGTTTGGCGATAAAATACAGGTGAGTCCGGTGGACCGCTAGAGAAACTGACAGGTGTATGCATAGATGATGTTGATGATTCATCATCACCAGGTGCATCGTCTTGTGGACTGGAAACAGTAGGAGTTGTCGATGGCGATATAAATATCGATGTGGTTGAAGGCATTATATTGTTAGCTGTAATTGAAGCAGTCGTTGATATCGAACCAAAATTACGAAACATTGCTAATATTGAATCGGCACTGGATACTTTTGGACGTGCTGGCGAACCAATACGACAACGTGCCGGTATACCGGCTGCTAAGCTATTGAGTTGATGGCTTGTGCCACCGATTTCACTGCCACTGTTTTGTATTGAGCGAAGGCCAAAATCGGTGAGGGCCAGATCTGAACTGGACAATGAATCGCTGCCCTGATTCGATGAGGTGCTATGCGGTGAGCGTATATCATTTGTGCACGGTGATGGGGGCATGGAGCTGGCGCGAAATTGTATATCAGTTGGCAAACTAAGAGCGCTAGAGTTCCTTGTGCTCTATTTTATGTTTATGTGAAAAAATGTTTGTTGCCAGCAAAGTAATGCATGAGAAATAAATATAAATGTGTATAGTGAGTTAGAGTAAGTAGCATGAATAATTATATATAATTAATGTTTTAATAAATATATTTCTTAATTATAAAATATTAATTAATTTGTAAGCAATATATAAACAGCACATAAGGTTGATTTGGGACTGAAAACGAATGATTCTCAGACAACACTCGAGATGTGTGCTTTCAGTTTGATTGAAAATTGTATGTACGTAAGAGTGTGAAGTATGTTTAACTACAATGTGAACAAGTGCACTGCAATATAATTTTTTTTTTGTACTAATAATTTCAACTATTTTTGATGGTTTTCTTTGTTATTTTCGAATACCTAAAATGTTCAAATGCAAAAAGTTCAGAATTGTTTAGTTAAAGAAAAGCTTCCCTCTCCTCCAAGTCCTTGTAAGCACATAAAAATTTTGTTCTTTTTGCCTGAGAATCACAAGTCAGCTTAATATACACAAATATTGTGGATTAAATTTAACAATTAACTTACCCCCATTTGACCAATGTCGATCTCTGAACCAGAGCTCATCTCTGCAGAAACTTTATTTAAGAGACGTGCAAAAGTGACCTTTTTCTCCAACTTCGGATCGGTTATGTTGCGCGGCATGGACCCTGAGGCTAAGGAACCAGAATTCTCTGAGAAAGTTGTTTCCTTAAGATCGCTCTCAGAATCAATGTTATTCACACGCAATCGATTCTCGGACATCGATATCAGTTCATCCAGGCTCACTTTGGGTTTGGCTTGAGCGACGGCCGGCGAAACTAATTGTTGTAATATTTGCTTTTTTTCGGTGGCATTCTTCTTGACAGGCGTGGAATTATTCCGCTTTTTACGTGGTGATGGAGAACCTATATTTTATGAAAAAAAAAAGAGAAATTAATATTTTTTGATAATTTTCAAAAAATTATATTAAAAGCTAATAACTAAGACACAGAAATTAACATAGAAGTGCAATAAAGAAAAGTGAAGTGGAAATATGCAATTAAATATAATTTTTTACTACTCAAGCTTATGTGAATTTAGTTTATATATGCATGTTTTAATAACTAATGGTTAGTAATATTAAAATTAAGATGTAACTACAATTGAAACTGCTTAAAATTAGTATTCTACATTTACTTGTAATTAGCAAATTAGTGGATTTGCAACGAAAGGTTAACTACATATTTTTTTGTTGTACTTGATATGCTAAATTAAAAAAAAAAACATTTTAAATAAACAAGAAAAAACGTCAAACACATTTAGTTAACACTCAAATAAATATTTTATATAGTAAAGAGTTGTCCACCAGCAGCCACAAATATTTTCAATAAAAATAATGAAAAAAAGTGAAGTTTATCTTATCTTTTCGTGGGTTGACAGATAATATTATATATTTACAAGATAGTTTTACTCTTTAAAGGTCCCTGAAAGATATGTAAATTTAGTTTTTCGATATTATATATATATATGTTGGCTTTAGATTTTTTTAGTCCCTCAAAAATTAAAATAGTTTGATGATTTGTTAAACTGTCTTATGCGATATATACAATCGATGAATATCTGGTGAATTTATGAGACCAGGACTTTTATTATTAGAGTACGAAGAACAGCTACCACAAACGATTTCATTCTATGGGAAAACATCAAAAATGTAGATTCTATTATAATGATTTCTCAATATTTGAGATAAAATAGTGTAAATGCAGCTATATAAATTGGAGGAAAAATTAATGGAACTTGGGGTTACACAGCTTATATATATTTTCAGATATAGTTGGATTCACAATAAATATTGTAGTTCTTATTTACCATATGTACTTTAATAATAATTGTCTATTCTATAGTAGAGTTGAAAAGGGCACATAGAAGCAGAACCAACGAATTTTCGAGATATATAAGACAATTACAATTAATATTTGTGGATTAGTAATAAGATATTTGTCATTTATTTAAAAATATAAAGTTCAAACTTATATACAAAGTCTGCTTAAAGAAAAATTGAGTTGTTCAGGAAAAAATTCTTTCTTCTGTTAACGCTACATTACTTTGGATATATTAGAGTCATTTTCATCCGAGTCATTTTGATATGATTTAGCAGCTGACTTTCTTAAAAACATTCAAAAAAGAAAAACCAGGAATCTGCTTTGTAGATTTTTCAACTAGTTTAAGATGGAAAAGCAAAAGTACACAGTTATCCATAGTGCCTTATTTCTGTAAACAAAATTTAGCAAAGTTTTCGGAGACAATACAAAGCAGTTCACTCAGGGATGTTCGGTTGATATCCCTGAGTGGGCAACAAAATAAATGCATCAATCCAATCAAATCCACAAAAGATTAAAGAAACATGGTGTCAAATGATATTGAAAGCAAATATTTAATAGAGAAAGGATAAGTGTCAGTCTGTTGGGATTTCTTTTCGGAGCTTACCCAGTACTGTTTAAAGCGTATTAATCGTAGAAGTTGTTGCGTATGAGACTATAAATAAGTGTGAAATTTGATCATACGATTTATACTTGTTTCAAAATTTCGTATGTGGTAAACAATTGAACTCAGATGTGATTAAATATCAGTGCTTATTTCAAATTTCAAGGGTCATTAAGACAGACCCTTCTATAAACAAGTAATTACTTTACTAAAACTTGCCAAGAGGTTATCGAATAAATTGGATAATATGTCATAGATTGAACTTTGTTCTTCATATAAATAACTAAACCTTAAGAAACATAGAATAAACACGTCGTGAATTTTTTGAAAAACTAGTATTATAGATTTAATTGATCGTTTTTCACAGTTTTTTTTTGTTATAGTGTTTTAGCTTTCTGAACGCTGGTTATTAAGATGATTTTTTGACTTACTGTGTAGTGCATGTACTAACCGTAAATTCCTGTTTTACCTATATTTGAATTATCAAAAGACATGTTTTATAGTCCTCGATCTAATTTCTTTTTTATAAATTTCAAGGTTTAGTTTTGACAAAATCTGGAGGTATCCAAATACAATATGAGAAACTAATATCTTCCTACTACAGATTATCGAACGCATCAAATGGGGTATTTGTTCTGGTAATTTGAATATATAATAAATAAATACTAGTACACACTACAAAATTAATCCTTTCCATTACTTTATAAACCTTAAAAGCATATGATATGGAATATTGAATATTTAATGTAACAATACGAAAGGAATTTGGGCAAAAAAGACTTAACAAATACTATATACTTTATTATTGATAATGATGATATATGAAATCAATATTCCTCTTCTTCTATAACTCTCGAAATTTTCCACAGCTGATCTTTAAAAATGACTTCTATTGACAACTTAGCAAAATCCCTTAGATAAAGTTTTTAAAATTAATTGAGCGCATTACAAACATAATCAGCTGGTGTCAGCATCCTTTAATCCTATATTGTAGGATTAGGATTTAACCAGTAATTGAAAACTGTAATATAATATTAATATGAGTTTTATTTATTATATGAAATCTCTCCCATTTTGTTGTTGACACTAATGACCTATTTGCTCTAGCTTGAGTTTTGGGTAAGGAACATGACTTCGCAAATAATTCATATTCGATGTAGACCAATGTATATTTCGTAAAAAGGTTTGGGTTGTAAAAAAAAGCCTATTGGGAGTCTGTTTATAAGTTGCTTATCCTACGAGTTAAAAACGGTCAGTACGCATTATACGAGAGTAATTAAGCGATGATTAAGCAACAGCATTGGAGAGGAGGTGCAATTTAGTTTTACTAGGACTTTAAGCGTCTAATTTTTTAAAGGATTAAAGCGGATTTGGTGCTTTGCTGTTAAAAGTTTGGAGTATTCATGTCTCAATGAAACTGATCGATGAGTTTGTGTAATAGAAGTGCATTCTTGAATTTTGTTTTATTATTATTATGTATTAATTTAATTTTATTTAAATATAGATATTGAGAATATGATAAGTATTTTTGGAGTTTAGTACTACAGAGTGGGTTTAAAGCCATTTTCTATATAATAAAAAATTATGAATCAATTGATTGGGGAGATTAATTTAATGTTTAATTTTAAAGATAGTATATTTAAATTGGTATATATGTATATTAATATAGCTTTATAGATTGCAATATATATTTATTTTACAATACGTGAAAACAAATAAAAAAAATTAAATTAAAAATATTTGTTTTTGTACAATTATTAAACATTTACTTGTGTGTACAATAAGAAATTATTTAAAAATGATTGGTGAGGGTATGGGGTAAGTTTCTTTTTTAGTGGATGTTTCAAAACTGAAAGTAAGACTTATCATCCAATTACAAAGAGAGACAGAAGACAATTAAAAAAAAAGAAAGACAGATAGATATAGTAGTAGAACTTGAAGTGATTT